TGTAAAATAAGTAGAAAGCTATACAGTGAGAAGCACAGCAAACTCCTAATAAAACCCACAAAACCTTGTGAAACCCATGAAACCCAACCACTTAAGAACCTTCATGTAGAAACTACTAATCATGAAAAACAACAGAATGTAGCAAGTAGGGGCTTCAACACCCCACATCTCAGTTGACATAGGAGCCCAATCCATTAGAAGTGTGGCCTTAAAATTTCAGGGCCCTAAAAAGCATTTTCTAGTATAAAATTTCTGAGCTATTAATACCACCCAGTTATATCTGTACAGAGGTTTTCAATCCTTATGAAGGCTGCATGTGTGTCTCGTTCAGAGCCACAGCTGAGTGCTAACCATCAGTGACAACTGGGAAATGAGAACACAGAAGGAAACAAATTATATTGTGTAGAAGCAAATACTGTATATATATATACATACATAATATATATAATTTGTATACATATATGATTTATAATATATAAGTAACTATTATAAATAATATGCATTTTTAATCCTTTTAAAATGTAGGTGTGTTAAGCTTGGAATTGACACTTTTAAAATTGGATATATCTAGCTTTGGTATCCACCCCTACCCTCATGCCATTTTACCATACAGACCAGAAAGTTCCTGGGAAACCACTGCTTTAGACTCTTCCTCAGCAATGTCTCCTGTGCCCCTCCGGTTCATTCTCACTGCCTTTATCCATGCAGTCCCTCGTTACTTCTTTCTGGATTATCGTAATATCTTCCTGCCTGGCTTTTCCATTTCAGGGTCTCCCTCTCTGGTCTCTCCTTTAGTGTGCTAATTAAATTGAGCTTCCTGGAGCACAGCTGTGGTCCCCAAGGATAAAGCCTTAGCCCCTTACCCTGCCATGCAACATCCCCACAATCTGACCCACCCTTCTCTCTCTCTACCACTTTACACCCTGTGGACTCAGCCAGCCCTCAAGTTATTTCTAATTGGATTCTCCTTCCCATGTGTACTTTTATTCACACTATTTCCCACACCTTAAATGAATTTTCCTTAATCTTTACCTTTTAAAATATACACATCATTCAAATACTCAAATGCCATTTTGTCTAAAGCCTTAGTAATTTACCTCTTGTGTCCTGTGAATGCATATTTCTGTCTGTGTAGTACATAACCTATCATGTCTTATTATTGTGACCCTGTCACTCTGTGGTAGAGGCTTGGCTGTCATCAATTTTAATATTGTATATATATAATGGGCCGGCCCGGTGGCGCACTGCTACAGTGCGCTGCTTGGGAGTGCGGCAGCGCTCCCGCCAAGGGTTCGGATCCCACATACAGACCGGTTCCCGCTCACTGGCTGAGCGAGGTGCGGGCGCAACACCAAGGGTTGCGATCCATTGCCGGACACAAAAAAAGACAAAAAGGAAAAGCGGGCGCAACACCGAGGGTTGCGATCCATTGCCGGACACAAAAAAAGACAAAAAGGAAAATATATATATATATATATATATATAATGATGGAATGGACTATTTTCTTCACCTCCTTCTCAGCAGACTTTATAACCTAATTTCCTTGGAAAGCAAAAGCCATAAAATAACTACCTCATCTTCTAGCCACCCCACCTACAAAATCACATGCATGATGAAGGGAACCTGGGTTCTGGAATAACCTCATGGAGTAGAGCTGCTGCCAACAACCTGAAATGCTCACACTGAGCTGTTAAGAGGGATAGAAATAAATACTAATTAATTAAACCACTAAGAAAAGGGGGCATGTTAAAACATCCACCTGGGAAAAAAAAGAAAAGTGTCTTCTGTACACATCATGCTCCCACCCTCTCCTCCTCAAAACTAATCTTATTCCTGGCTCTGAGTCCCATCCTCCTATCCCTGACAAAAGCCTCACTCCATCAGTTATCTCCCCTTTCTTCAAAAATTTCAATTTCTTCCTTTCTGCTGATTCCTCAGATCAGGAAAGACCAATGAGAAAAATTTACATAAACAGTTCTCAAGCCAAAACAGTTGTGCTGATAGACCCTCAAGAGTACAAACCCTGCAGAGCAAACTCATGCTTAGAAAGGAAAGGGACATACAACAGAAACACACACAAGTCAGACGAGAGAATTACACTCATCCATCCGTGAGGCAAGGAACACCGAACACCATCCTCGCTCTCATCCCTGCTTTCCCTTGTTCCTGATCTATGAACATCTGTTAATTCCACCTGGCACCTGATCAAGGCAACAGAGTACACCTGAGGGGGCCTAAAGAACTATATACAGGGGTAGCCACTTGGAGCTCTCCTCATCTGGCATTTATCTTCTAAGAGTACATGGTCTTTTTTCAGTTCCTTAAGCATGTCCACATTTCTCCTGCCTTTGAACTTCCGTCTGTGTCATGTCCTCTGCCTGAAGGACTCTACCTTTTTTCTCCCTCCTTCCACCCCTTTGTCATGACTTGATCTTTCTCCTTCAACTCTCAGCACAGATATTACCATTCACTCCTACAACGTTCTTCATAGAATTTCTCATGGCATATAATTTTCATTTGTTTCTTATTTTCTCTTCACCATTGTATTCTCAGAACCTAGCACATGGAAGGCACTCAGAAACGTGTGGAATGAATGAATCAATTAATGAACTATATTAGAAACTAGCTCAGCATTGCAGAGGTCCTGAGGGAGGCAGCTTAGCAGGACGACCCAAGGATTTTACTTTACACGGTCCTAACCCCCTTCCCTAACCATGTTCCCCATACCCAAACTCTGATGTGCATTATCAGGATTGGAAGGGGGTGAGGGTACACTGGTATATCATGTGTTCCTCACAGTCCTTCAGACTCTGGCATAAGGTGAGAGATGTAATGTCAGTAATTACTGTGAGAAGGGGAGTGGTCATGAGTAATTGCAAAAAGTAATCTAGTAACTTTCATATATCATCTCCAGGCCCCTGTGAGAACCACTGTTCAAGGTATATTATTCCTATGCCTTGTAATATCCCCCAGACCTTTAGATGTAGCTGCTTGTCAGCTCTCAGAGCAATGATCTTTCAGCCAATCTCAGATGGTCTCTGGGCCTCACATGTGGGCCATTACTTTTCTCATTAAAACTTTCTTAATCATTAACATTCTTGTCCTCTACCACAGGGGCCTTCAATCATTAAACATACTGAGGTATTCTATTTGAAGAGGAGCTCTAATATTGATAAAATGGAAAGGCAAAGTTACTCCTAAAAAGCCATTTAAGATTAAAGGTTGACATCATTAGTATAGAACATCATTAGAACCATTAACTGATAATCTGGGTCCCCAGACAAAATTTTTGGAAAAAGTCTTTTCATATCCAGCCTACAGATTTTCCATCACCAATCCCCCATAATCACTAGTCCATACCCTTTAGTCTTATTAAACAAGAAAAGAGTGTTGATATAGTAGAAGTAGGGGCCAGGGGGACAAGTTAAAGGGGTTTAGAGCAGAATTCATATTCCTTTGTTTGAACTACAAATTCCTCCAACATCTCTTGCTTTGGGGGAAGCATTCCAGGCAGAAATAGAAACTGGTTCTAAGTGTTATCCCTGAGGGTTTTGCATATGCACTAATCAATGACTAAAGCAATTTCCTGGTCTGATTTATTAAGAACTGACACAGATAAGAACAGTTAAGGGGCTCAAGAAGATTAGGATTTTTAACTGAAATTATTTTTGAAAAAGTAGCATACCGTGAAACCATTAAATGATTCTTTGCAATTTTTAGAGATTAAAACATGCCACATCTTAATCACAAACTGGCCTGTCATAGGGGAATTGAAATAGAGATGTGACCCCCAAAAAGCACACGTCAGCCCCCAGCGAGCTAATTTCTCTTAAAGAAAGAAGTGCTTGCTTTCTGGGGAATTTGGGAGGCCAAACAGCCTGTTGAATGCCCAGAGTGACATGGAGGGAAAAGACAAATATTTGGAGTCAAAGGGATTAAAGCCAAAATCATGAATTAAGAATGTATGATGTAAGCAAATTTCATAATATTTTTGGCTTCAGTTTTCTACTCTGAAAAATGGTAATAATACCTACCTTGCAAGATTAGGAAGATTAGACACACTCATAGTAACAATAAAAAAAATTGCAAATGGTAATTGTGTATGAGAATATTTTCTATCAACATATCCTATCTCCCTTGAATCAGTAGAGGAACCTTATAAATTCTACAGTTATGTAGGTGCCTCTTGAGTTTGGATTAAGAAGCTGTTAGCATTTTTTTCCTCTCACAGTACTGCTTCTTAAATGTTGCTTAGTCTGGTTTACACCTTTGGAAATGTGACCTCAGGTACGCACCCAGAATATTAAAGGTAATTAAACTTTACATTTAATATTTTTGTATTTCTTGAGTTGAATTTTCTCCCATAAATTATTATTTGTCCCCCACAAAACTATTTACTAAGACGACTGTTTGTCCTTGAGCAGAGAATTTTTCTAAGATTATATATTTACCACTGGGAATGGATGGGTCTCACATCCTTACAGCACCTGACATAGCAGTTTTCTCTTTTTTAAACAAACACCAAACACCAAAGAGTCTTTTATTAAAATCAATGTATGTTTTCTAACAAAGGAGTTGCCAAAACAAAAATTCTGATTTTTCAATTTGCTTTTAATGTGGTTAAAGTCTGAAACAATTTGGCTTTTATTGGTCTTACTTAAAGTTAACGGGTCTAGCTAAAGGTTTTAATAAACAAAATTGTATCACCTCAACTCCAACCATCTTCAACTTCTCTCTCTCTCTCTCTCTCTCACACACACACACACACACACACTCACTCACTCTTACACAGAACCTACCCTACTACAATCAAAGAAAAATAGAGTATACCAAAGCTGGTGTGGCAAACTCCTAATTAATGACCAAAACTCCTTGGAGCTAAGGTATGCTCTCCCAACAGACTGCTATTTTTAAAATATTTATCTTTGAAAACAACAGCATGATTAATCTCATCATGCCTACTTAAGTTACTTATGTAGAAACAACAATGCACTATGAGCAATTATCAAAAACACTTTATTATGTATAATTTATACATGCTTCAGGTTTGTGTTGCTTAGGGTGATTTATTTTCCAGGTTGTGATGTCATCTACCACGATTAACTAGATCTAATTTTCATTCTGCCATGCCACATACAAAAATACAATTTTCAAAGCAAAATTCCCCTTTACACAAAATTACACAAGAGTTTGTCAGACAAATAAGAAAAGAATAATTTGCACACGCACCAACACCATACAAGGCATTATCCTTCACATCTAATGTATTTTTTATTTTGAAACAGCAGGAAAAAGAGCCCCTTCACCCTCAGAGGGAAATGCAAACTTTATTTGCTGCTAAAGCCAAAACTTCAGGGATGAAGGTGTGGTCCTCTCAGGGAACGTAGGGGGAGTGGAGACGTATGGAAGAGGATAGACGCCCCTTCACAAGCACTTCAGGAGGAAGGAATTGCAGGAGGTTCCCCGGGGACAGTCGCACAGCTTCCCGATCCTTGCTCCTTTTCTCACCGCACACTGCTCTCCAGCATCGCACTGCAAACAACACAACGTGTTGTCATCTGGTATGAGCAAACCCAGGCTCCCAACGGGCAAGTCTCCCCATCAACACAATTTCTGCCTCTTGAGAGGGACGACTGGACCCCATCAACATCACCAGAGGTCTGAGTATAGTAAGGCCTGAAACACAGGGAGCCTTGTGCTTGTAATTTCAGTAACAGGACATTTTTCAAAAGTACTTTAAATTATTGGCCCCCTCCTACTTTCTTACACTTTTTGGGGAAACACATTTCTTGGCTCCTTTTCTTGCTCATCCAAAGGGGGGAAAAATCAACCAGACCTTTTTTTCTAAGAAATAAACAGTAGACTTGTACTTTCAACCCCTGATCCCAGCTTTCCCATTTCCTCATCCCAAGAAGTGAGATTAAAGAGTGTTTTGGTTTTTGTTGTTGTTGTTGTTTGTTTGTTTGTTTACCCGGAGCTATCCAAGGAAGGTGACCAGCCCTGTTTTAATAATTTTGACTCTAGAACTTAGATTTAAAAAAAAAAAAAAAACCGAACTGGTGGTGCTCCAGAAGGCAGGAAGAAATTGGGGGAGCAAGAACTGAGTAGATTAAAGGGCTTTTCCAACTCAGAATTCTTTCTGAGGTGAAACTAAAAGCTCATCTCCCAGGAATGCTTCCCACACGATTCTAGAGTTCATTTCTGGTACAACTGTTCAACCCTCCGAAATGGCCAGTCTGCCCTTTGCCCTTAGAGACCAAGGGACGAGGGCTGGTGGTAGAAGAAGCAAAGCGGAGCCCACAGAATTCTGCAAACCCATTACCTGAGTTATTTAGCCACATCCTGGGGAGAAAGTCATGTATAAGATTCAAGGCGGTGTATTTTCTCTTGGGAAAAAGTGGGAGGTTACCCCAAAGCCTTACCATGGGCACTTGCCCGTACTTCTTCTCGTAGATCGGAATGCGTTTACTCTTGAGCTTCTTCAGGACTTCCTGCAGCGCTTCGATCTGCAACACACCGCCCCGAAGTTGCCGCCTGGGCTGCGAGCCCAGCCCAGGTGCTCACTTCCAGCCTAGCGTGGGGAGCCCCGGACCCACACGCTCCGGGGTGCAACTCCGCGGACAAAGGGGATGTTGGAGGGGCGGAAAGTCAGCGAGCGCTGTCCCAGGTACTGACCTCAGGTCCCCGAGCCGCTGAGGCTCCTGTTACTGAGAAGGGCCGGGACGAGGGATTCGCTCTACAGGCTGCCTGGAGCCCGTGGGCTCGAGACGACCTCCGGATGGCAGCGGGTGCCCAGACTTTGCGCTCAGCGCCCCGCGCCCTGACTCTAAGAGTGGCGTAGGGGAGAGGGGCCACGCGTGCAAAGAAGGGGCCGCGCGGCAGTCCGGGGGGTCCGGGGCGAGGGGGATACCGACCAGCTCCTTCTCGTGCGAGGCGTCCTCCATGGCCGAGTAGACGTCCAGGGCTCGGGGCTGGAGCTCGGGGTCCTCCTGGGCACGGGCGCCCAGCAGAGGCGGCAGCAGCAGCAGCAGGGCGGCGCCCAGGAGGGGCAGCAGCCGCAGGCGGGGGCTCTCCATGGTGCTGAAACTCGTCGCTGCTGGGCACCCCGCGCTCCCGCCTTTTATAAGGAACCGGAGCCCCGGTGTGGGGAGAGGGAGGGGGCGAGGAAGGAAGGGGGTGTGGAGGAGGGCCTGGGTCAACCGTCTGTCGGCAGCGTTCCGCCACCGCTTGACGTCAATGCCCGCCGGGCTCAGGCGCCCGGGAACGAGGCTCTGCGCACAGATGGGCTAAAGAGCAGGGAACAGGACCCCGCGCCCCCGAATGCTGTCAGCCCCGCGGCGAGGGACGCTCCCCAAGGGGCCTGGGCTGAAGCGGAGGGGCGAGGGGTGAGAGCGAGGCTCTGCGCACAGATGGGCTAAAGAGCAGGGAACAGGACCCCGCGCCCCCGAATGCTGTCGGCCCCGCGGCGAGGGACGCTCCCCAAGGGGCCTGGGCTGAAGCGGAGGGGCGAGGGGTGAGAGCTGGCGAGCGGGAGGGGCTGGGATGTGAAAATGCCTTCGGGGCAATGCACAGGCAGAAGAGTCGCTTCCCATCACCTAGCGGTGGTGGCCGCAGCACCGTCCACCTCGCCAGCCCTGCCTTGCCGCTCACCCTAGTGCGAAGGGTGGCCGCAAGAAGGAAGTGTTGGCTCCAGGCAGGCATGTTTGCCGAGCACCGTACTAGGCACCTGTGGGATAGGGGAGGCAAACGGTACGTAAAAGAAAGAGAAATCGTGACGCTCTCCACGATGGGTTCTTTGATGGCGTCTGTATCGTAATAATGAGAAGAGAAGGGAAACAGACTAACCCGGAGTCGGCGGTATAGGGAGTGCAGAGAACCGGACTCTGGTTCCAGTCCTGGCTCCACCATGTACAAACGATATGACATTGACCAAAATGAAGAACCTCTCTGAGCCTCAGCTTGTTCTTTTGTAAAACTGGGATTAGAAAGATGCACCTCACAAAGTTACCAGGAGGATGAAAGCAGAGATTAGGTATGTAAAACTCCTGGCCCCTGGCACAATAAACACTAAGCCTTCCTGTCACTCCCCTTGGAACTTTGAGGCTACCCAGATACTATGTGCAGTATCTTGGTTTCTCCTCAGGGCAAATTAAACCATCCCGAAACCCCTTCTACCCACTATTCATGCCTGTTATCCAAGAAGCCTGGAAAGAAAGTAAAGGGGTGAAGAACTGCAGATCCCTTATTGTGGAAATACCTACAAAGATCAGAATCAGTGATGAGCCAGGACCTCAGTGACTTGCAATGACACTGTGTTTTGTTTTTTAAGGTTAGGATTCTTATCACCTAAATGCAAATGAAAATTCTTGTAGAAGAAGTGACACTTTTCCACTTAGACCTAAAGACCTATCCCACCTGTTTGTCCACCTGGCTTCTTCTTTAACCACATCATCTTTCCCTCAGCTGCCCTGAATCCATCCACTACTACACCCCAGTTCTGGACAGCTGCCCCAGCCTACTTAATGTCTGCACCTTAATCCCCACCCCATTTTCTCTTGCCTTCCACTAATCCAACATTCACCACCCATCTTACTAAGCATTGAATCTATATTCCTCACCCTGACTTACAAGCTGTTACATGATCTGCCCCCACCCCCAACTTCATGTCCTACCACTCTACCCCAGACCCATCTATTTCAGCCTCGCTGGCTTTCCTTCTGGTTTTCTAGCAGGCCAATCGCATCCCTACTTTAATGCCTTTGTACTTACCTTACCTGGAAAGGTCCTCTTGCATCTCCAAATGGCTCACTGCACCTTGTCATCTAAATCTCAATTTAAATGTCAGTGAAAACTCAGTCAAAAGTATCCGCCACTTTATTCTCCCACAAATTTATTGCTTAGCAGCTGATGTTGATCACTGAGATAGTTAATACATTTTCTGTATCTGGCTACTTCAATTATCAAGTATTTAATTGTTACTCAAATGCACACTAGGAAGCAATTCAAGAAGTAATATCTCTTCTAATAAATAGTACACATATTAACAGATCAAAATAGTTTGCTTCGGGGTTTCAACTTGAAAATGTATCTAACACCTCCCCCACCTCTGCCTTTCATACATACCCTTTGGTTCTGCACAAAATTTAAACAGAGACACACTGGCACTCATTTTAAAAACCATCTGCAGTGATCTTAAAAACTCTAAGCTTCAGAAGAAAAATAACCCCAAATAAGATGTTAGCCCATCCTTCCACAAGGATGTGGATATTTCCAATGCAATACTTTCTCTCAAATTTTGTTCTACCCAGATACAAATAATAGCTTTCCCTGTGTGCCACTTCTATTGGAAAAATAACTCAGAAATCCAAATCATGCTGATGCTGGGTTGGTGTTATCATTTCCATCTAAGGAGAACTTTACATTTAGTTGAGGGGTTAGGGAAAGAATTCTTAGACTATCCTGTGTAGCAAGTCAGGGGTATCCTGGTCACGTACATATCACAATGCTTTTTTCATCTTGAACAGAATAACTTTATAAACTGTCTTTAGGAATCTTGTTACAGTAAAGCTTAGGCACTTATGTAAGTTATAACTAGAGAAGGAAGAAAATCATGAGATGTTCCATAGTCCTGACATCATGCCCTATCAGGAGAATTTATGTATTCTTGTTACTTTCTAATACCCTATCGGGGGAAGGGGAAAAGCTCACCTTTGATGTCCCTAAGCCATAAAGTCATAATTGGATTTAATCACTGCTTCTCATTCCAGATATAGAAAAGAGAAGCAATGACCAGGATGTGTCTATGGAGATTTACAGTGGGCAAGCCTCTCTTAACCACCCCTCCTAAGATAGAGTAGATCTCCAGTTCTGCTCTTTGAAATAGCTCAGGTAGAGAAATCTTACTAGCAGAGAGCCAAGAAACTAGTGCCAGTTAAGATATACTCATAACATATGGCTATCTGAGAAAAAAAATTTTTTTTAAGTTGAGGAAACCTCTTCTTAATCATGTCTATATATTGGAGTTCTGAACCTTTCACTATAAAAAAATAATGCATTAATTGATTTGTGACTTGGCAAGAGAACAATCTTCCTCATTTGGGATCAGAAAAGAACCTTAAAGTATAGGGGCTAGTCAATATTACTAAATGAGAACTCAAGAGCCCTAAGATGTTAGATAATAAGAAGGTCATGGAATTAGACACCAAAATGATGTTGCTGAGGTTTTTCCCCAAACTCCAGTATTTTTCTCTTCCTCACTTCTTCAATTTTGAATAATTTCTTTTCCTTTATAACCCAGAATAACCCTGGCCTTTTAGGTTGTCATATTACTCAATGTGAGACTATTTTGTTATCCATTCACCCCTCTCCTTTCCTGCACCACCACCAAGTCTTGTTTAATGGTAAAACGTGTTTCATTAACTTCTTAAATATTTGTATTTAAGATTGTGTCTCTTTACTTGTGTTAGCTGTACTTTCCTCCAAGTTAAACATCACTGTTCTCTTAGGTATACATTTGTATCTCTTAGGGGGCACCCTGTTCACTTCTACTTCATCTCTTCTCCACCCTCCCTGCCTCCAGAAGAGATTATTTCCCATTGACATTCATCTTCTGTTTACCAACTTTCAATCCATAGGCTTCCAAAGGAACTGATATTCACTGTGTTCTAACTAAACATTTTTACCACTATCTGGAAGAAAATGATGGGCAAGTAAAGGAAACTTGGAGTTGGAGCTGAACAGGGAGGTGCTGGAGATGTAGTAAAAAAGAATATGTGCTTTACAGACAGCCTGTGAAGGAACAAAGCAGGGGAAATTAGACAAAGCTTTCCATTAATCTTCTTTAAGTTTTTAACTAAAAGAAAGGCTTTCAATTTCAAGATTCAATTTTTAAAAATCTGGGTGCCCCACACATTCACAGCACTTCTAAGTACTATGAGGACTGCTGAGATAATCCAGATCAGTTCTTGCTCTTGAGAATCTTTGGGTCTGGTGATGTCCACAAATACCCATAACATAACAACTCATTGAGGTGAAGGCCCTAATAGAGAAAGGGTAGCATCCCAGAGAAGTCAGACTAATTCCCTGTAGAGAGGGGAAGCCTCATGAAAAAATGGCATCCTTTGGATGAGCTGCTGGGTCTTAGAGAGTGGGTAGAATTTCAAAAGCAAGATTTTTTACCTTAACAGCCTAGCCTAAGAAAAGTGGCTCCTGTCAGGTATAGGCAGGTATCACTAACCAAGAGATACTTTCCTGGGACAAGGAAACCTTTCTCTGGCTCCCAGCACAGCGCATCTTGCTGGAGTGCAGCCAAAGGAGTGGCCTGCCTGGCCTACACTTCTTACGCCACAGTTGTCCCCATCTACTCCTCTAACTTGTCTGGATCCAGATGACACTTACAGGAAGTGTAGGATTAGCACTAAAACAGCCAATTAGAATGCCCCAAGAGATTAACCACTGACTTAATAGAGAGCAATTTTGAATCCTTCAGTGACTGTTCGTTCGTTGCCTACATGTTCAAGTTAACTTCTCAGAATGGTGTCAAAGTGTCTCATAATATGGTCCTGTCCCATATTTCCATCTCATTTTCCTCCACTCACAACCAGCCCCATCAAACATATTTCATTTTGCAAGTACACCATATAATTTCTTAATTTTGCACTGAATTAGAAGAATAGACTAGGTTTTGTTGCTGTTAACAAACAATCCCAAAATTTCAGTGACTTGAAAAGAGCACAGATATATTTTTCACTCACACTACACATGCATCAAGAGTTAATGGAGTGCTCTATTCATCATGGTCACTCAGGGATCCAGACTGACAGAACATCCACCATCTCTGAAGTTGCTGGTTTTGTTCCAGAGGGAAAGAAGAGCTTTGGGCAGTTTTTAATGAGCAATTAAAATCTTTGGCCCAGAAGTGATACTTCACTTTTGCTTCCAACGTGTTGCCTGAACTAGTCACATGGCTCCACCAAAGTAAAAGGGACTAAGAAGTGCAGGATTACCGGGTGCCTAGAAGGCATATATTGTGGAATATCATTAACAGCTACCACTTGTCTCTGCCTTTACCCATGCCCTTCCCTATGCCTTAAATGTTCTTGCCAAGCCTTGAACATCTGAAAAACTCATGCTGCAAGACTCATCCTATCTGAAGTCTTTCTCATCCACTGCTCCATCACACCACCAGGTCTGCCTTGCC